ATACCTACTTAACAGGGTGTTGCTACTAAGGGTCTGTTGAGACAGTTCCTTCAGCACATACAAAAAGATACGTGCGGTAGCCCCTGTATGACAGGCCAAGACTAGCATGATTCTAGGCTCTTGGTCGTATTCCCTTAAAGGAATCTATTCCTGATTCCAAGCCTTGAGCTCTACCCCGGGCCCAGGAGTCTGGCCCTAACAGGTAAGTATTTTGGGGTATGTAGCCTAGGCCTTTGGCCGTAGGGAATAACGTCACTGACAGCCGTCTAACGTCCCAGGGGCAACTCCCATAGTAATATGGTAGAGTTGGTACTTAGTGCTCGCCATGGTTCTGGCATGCACTCCCCTCAGCATGGTGGCGTGGGTATACCGTTCCCCATAGCGACCCCTAGAGGACGCAGTTCGACATTCCCATGAAAGGGAACGTCTCAGGTTACTTATGTAACCATGGTTCCCTTTCATGGGAACTTCGAACTGCGTCCTCTAGGGACGAGGCGTTCCCCATAGCGACCCCTAGAGGACGCAGTGTCTCGTTCCCTACTCAGGGAACCATGGTTACATAAGTAACCTGAGACGTTTGTGTTCAACAGAAGAAATAAACTTTTAACGATACAGATTTAACGATGATGATAAAAATAGAACAAATAACTTGTAATAGAAAACTCACATGCGAGACAGCGTGTTACAAACGAACAATACCAGACAAAAGAAAGGTGAACACAGAGCAACTTAATTACTGGGCAAATGAGGGAAATAATGACCAACACCTGTGCAGATCAAATGAATAACCACAGGAAACTACTGAAAACAAATTAAAAGACCATGATAATGAGAATAACAACAGAAAGACTAAAAGCCCATGACAGTGAGCAAATGATGACAGGATTTTTTTATTTTTGGGTGAACCATCCCTTTAACAAGCTACATGTAAGAAATAAAAGATCAATGTATCACTTTATCACTAGACTTTTTTGAAATCTTAAAAAGTATGAAGTTTACCAAACACAGAAAGTACACCTAGGTTACTTAGGACACTTAGGTTAATGGTTTAGAACAAATACTGCTTGAGGAATATCATTACTGCGCTGGAACACAAATACTGTAAAAAGAGTTTCTGTTGTCTCTCAGACAGAGGGTAAAAGTGCAGAGTGTGAAACTCTAACCGCGGTTGTTACAGGACACACTGCTGCCAAGAGAAAAAGGCTCATTTCACCACAGAATGACGCCGAGTACACCACACACAACAGACTGAACAAGAGCAAAGGCAACTGACACCGCTTCCTCAGAAAGATATGAATTTCCCAGAAAACAAATCTACAAAGATCAAACTTTAAATTACAAGATCTACTGAGCTTCTACTTAAAACCCTTGCCAAATCAAACAAACAAACAATATGGTTACCAGAAGTGTGCAGCTTTTCACTGGAGAACCTGCAGCCTATATATTTACAAATATGTGCAACAACTAGCAAACCATTATTCTGGAAAATATCTACAGTTCTTTGTCAAAATGCTATATTTACTCTCATGCAAATATAAATACCTGCCACCACTGGCAAAGTTATTTAGCAAACCATAGTGAATAGTTGAGACAAAACAGTGGCAACAATGCGCAATCAATCAATTACAGCTGTCTTTTTAAGGAAGACTATGGCCCAATCCCAATTCTACCCCTTAGCCCTTCCCCTTTTTCCTCCGTTTCGCGCGTTCACGTGAAGGGGTAGGGGTGTCTCAATTCTCTTTTGGTTGGAGGGGTAGATTATTCATAATCAATTTTGTGAACGAAGGAAGTAAATTAAAGTGGAAAGACTTTTAGATTGCAAAACAAATCATTAGTGACATTGACTGAGGTGTTGCAGATGTTTCTAAGAGGTGAGGCACTTTATATTGAAGATTGTTATAATAATGGAAATGATTAAGAAAGTCATTTGTCAATTTAATCGACATTGTATACACGCTCATTTAAGTCCAACACACACAACCATGGCGGGAGACAGAAGCTGAAGAAGATGTTTTGCTTCTTCCTATAATGGAGATTAGGCCTCTGTTTATTGCAGAGAGACAGAGAGAAATGGAGCGTAGCGATAGTTCTGGCAGGCCATGTTAGTCGAGCTCGCATCAGCTGACACTCAGCTGATCCACGTCTACCTATAGGATCACGACACCAATCATAATTCCCTTCATAAGGTCCCTTCAGTCATTATTCAGCAGCTATCGCTTCCCTCAGGAACTAATCACCCACCTCCATCCCCAGCTCCTCCTCTCGTCCAGTCAGGACTTGGCAGTGAATATATCATTGAGTCAGACCACTGAATCATGTTGTTAAAATAATCACGTAGAACATTAATGGTATCTGCTACATTTATCATTGATGTTGGTTCTGTTCTGTTACCCTAGGGGGGGTATTCTGCTCTCCCTGCTCCTATCCGTGGATAGGCTTCGTGGATGGGCAGGGAGTGCTGTTACCCTAGGGGGGGCATTCTGCTCTCCCTGCTCCTATCCGTGGATAGGCTTCGTGGATGGGCAGGGAGTGTTTGCCCAGAACAGAACCATTCCCCCAACCTAAAATGTATGCTAATCGTAAGTTATATTGACGATAGTTGTCCTGACAGAACTAATTTATCCTCAGTAGAAATCTGTTAAATGCTAGTCTGTTATTCCAGAAGCAGTTAACAGGAAATGACACTTTATCAGATATGACGTTCTTTGAAGCAGCATATCACCACACTTGCTTCACGCTGTGCTTCCTCATACCTCTGAACATATGCAACCACATACATGAATGTCCCACACCGAATGAGCAGCACGATAAGTCACATGGCCCTGGCATTTCCCTGACTGCTCAACCTCTATTCATGAGCTGTAATGAGGGAATACATCTTCAGAGCTCGATAACTTAACTTCAGATTTGGCTCACCCTTCGTACTGCACTGTATGTAGTTCTGCATATTTTTGCAACTTTGAAGCCCCCTACTGCTAAGTAAGTGTAATTCACATAAATATATCTATAAATCTATAAAATCCATAAATATGTGTCGTAGTTACAGCGGATACTAGATGTTCCTTTTGCCTTTGTTTCTGCCGTAAAGCAATTCGCCCTTTCCACAGATTGCTTTATGGCTCATCAAACTTACATGCTCTCAGAACAGATGTTTGGGGTGCAGTGTTGGAAAAAACAGAAGCCATTCGTCATACTATTAGTCAGTGTGCCATTCGGAATTATTCTG